TTCCTTTAAAAATTGCTCAGTAAGAAGAGGAGATTAGATGGTCTTTGAGACAATAGTCCACCATCTCTTCATACTGCTGGACTTGAATTAACCACCTTTCCTTCACCAATACTTTATCTCTAGTGTCTGGTTCTTAGGTGGTGGATAGCTAAACCTGCATTCGGCAATAGTGGGGCTCAGAAACCAATATCCTAAAATGTGGCCATTGCCATGCTAAACTGTATGTTAAAGGAAGAAAGGAAGTAAAAAATGTTTTCGGTAGGGCAGCGCCTACATATACCGAGGGTGGCGGGTTCAAACCCAGCCCCGCCAAACTGCAACAAAAAAATAGCTGGGTGTTGTGGCTGGCGCCTGTAGTCCCAGCTATTTGGGAGGCTGAGGCAAGAGAATCGCCTAAGCCCAGGAGCTGGAGGTTGCTGTGAGCTGTGACACCAAGCACTCTACAGAGGGCAATAAAGTGAGACTCTGTCTCTACAAAAAAAAAAAAAAAATGTTTTCTGTCTCTCTAAAACCTCCTTTATTGTTTTGGGAAATTAAAACCTGAATTCCTGCCTCAGGCTGGTAGTTGAGAGGAGCAGGGGTGTGTCCTTTGTTCTTGGTGCCAAGGGCTCAAGGGAATTGTCCAGTGGAGATCAGGAGATTGTCATAGCAGAAGGTGGGATAAATCAGAGCAGTCAGCTATAGCTGAACAGCAATGACCTAAAGCTGAAAACTTCCCCTTTAAAAGCCCTATATTTCCACTCAGATGTGTAATGTTGGTATTCTAAAATGGGCGTCTGACAACCTCCTCATTTGCCACAAATTAATAAACTTCACTTTCCTTCTTTTCAAACCACTTGTCCTCTCCTCCTTCAGATGTGGCCTTGGGGACAGATGCCAAAATTTTGATAACTTGAAGAAGTTACAAGTTCTCTCTGACCCCTCCACTAATCCATCTTTTCCAAAGAAGGTAAAGTTCCTTTATCTGCCCAAAATCTTTTTTCTTCTTTTCACTGTAATATCAAGAATGTAACCACACCTGGACAGACTCTTTCACTATCAAAAAGAACAATTTATAAATTATTTTATTTTATTTTGAAACAGAGTCTCTGTTACCTGGGCTAGAGTACAGAGGTATCATCATCTCTCACTGCAACCTCAAAGTCCTGGGCTCAAGCCATCTTCTGGCCTCAGCCTAGAAGCTGGAACTACAAGTATGTATTACTGTGTGGCACCTGTGGCTCAGCAGGTAGGGCACTGGCCCCATATACCCAGGGTGGCAGGTTCAAACCCAGCCCTAGCCAGATTGCAACAAAAAAATAGCCGGCATTGTGGTGGGCACCTATAGTCCCAGCTACTCAGGAGGCTGAGGCAAGAGAATCACCTGAGCCCAGGAGTTGGAGGTTGCTGTGAGCTGTGTGATGCCACGGAACTCTACTAAGGGTGATAAAGTGAGACTCTGTCTCTGCAAAAAAAAAAAAACCAAAGTATGCATTACCAGGCCCAGATAATTTTTCTATTTTTTATAGGGACGGGGTCTCACTATATTGACAAGCCTGGTCTGGAACTCCTGGCCTCAAACAATCTTCCTGCCTGCCCCAGCCTCCCAAAGTGCTAGGATTACAGGTAAGAGCCACCACACCCTGACTGATTTACAAATTAATTTCTGTTCCCAGATTCATTCATTCTTCCTAGTAATACTTTATTGTCCCTCAACAAAATTCTTCTTCTCCTCTAACCCATAACTGGTTTTCCCAGGATGTTATATAAGCTTCTGAACCCCATTAGAGAATCCTGTGTATAGCTGCCTTATTTGGGGTGGTATTAATCTCAAAGCAGGAAAAATTTTAGGTAATTGAGGGAGGAAAATCTAGTTAACCGAAAAACCTCA